CCCCCCCCCCCCCCCGCCCTGCCTCCTGGGCTCCTGGGGAGCGACCAGAGACCGCTGTCCCCTCCGGGCAAGCTTGCGGGCTAGCTGGCCCCTGGCTGCAAGGCCAGACTGGCTCAGCCCCTCCCCCTTGGGGGAAAGGTTTACTTGCAGGCCGCACACGGGCCTGAGGGAGTCGGGGATGCCCTGGGAATCCACGAACAGGAATCTCTGCTCTACCTGACTCGGCAGGAGCTGCAGGAGGAAAGGCAGCAGAAGGCGGGTAGCTGTGGGGACTGGGTTCCCGCTCTGTGTCACAGGGTCTCCGGCTTGCAACGTTGCTGCCAACGTGCTATGCTCTCACAGCCAGCCCCTTCTTTCTCCACGGCTTCCATCCATCTCAGGGCTCCTGCTCACCTTGCTTTCACTCCCGCTTCCTGCTCATCCTCCCGCTTCCTGCGCTCGCCCTGACCTTCGGCTCCTGCCACCTGCCCGTCTTCTGTCAGCCTGTCCGTGGCAGCCTGCGTCCCAGGAGGATGGCCCGCTGTGGACTGGCTGCCCGCTGGTCAGGTGCCAGCCCTGGTCCAGTCAGCGGGCAGGGAGCAGCCAGGGCCTTCCAGCGGAGACTGTGCAGAGCAGGGTCCCTGAAAGAGGCAGCGAGGAAGCAGGCAGCAAGATGGAAAACTCTAGGGTAACCAGTTGGCAGTTTTTAAAAAGGGGTGGGGGGAGATAGCACAGCTGAAACAGGAAATCGAGACTGGGTCATTCCCTACTTTTTTGCTGACACTGTTTCCAGGGACGCCCGTCGCTACCACCACGGTACTTCTCATGGTCTGGCAGCAATGGGGCCTGGCGGGGGCCCCCAGGCGAGGAAGAGCAGAGGTTCCAGCCTGCCCCCCGGCTCTGCCCCCCGGGACCTCTAACTTGTGGGGCAGGTTAAGCCACTGATGTGCTGAGAACAGCTCCTGGCACACGGTGAGCGCTCAGTAAATGGGCCCACAGACCGGGGTCTGGCCTAGGAGGCTGTCAGAGACGGCAGTTCCAAGGGTAGGCCGGCCCGCCATGTTTCTCCGGAAGCGCTGCCTGGGCTTCTGAGGTGCGTTCCCCGGGCAGGCGCCTTTGCAGGAGACAGGAATGGAGGCGCTCAGTGACCTGTGGGACGAGACGAGGCCCAGACTGTGTGAGCTGGCAGGGTCCCTTTCACAGCCGGGGAAGCTGAGCCCTGGGCAGGAGTTGGGGGAGGGGGGCAGCCAGCGACTTGCAGAAGTCGCTGTGGGGACAAGGCAGGGCCGGGAAAGCAGGCCCCCCGCCTCCCAGAGTGGTCTCTTCCTGCTGCCCCAGATGAGGTGCACGCCACTAAGTCCTGCGTAAACGGGGCCGGGCGGGGGCACCGCGGAGTGGTGCCCACAAATGCACACGGGTCCTGTTCCGGTGCACGCTGCCCACAAATGCACACGGGTCCTGTTCCGGTGCACGCTGCCTTTTCCCCTTAATTTACTTTGGAGACCCATATCAGTCTTTGAAGAGTGTCCTGTCTCCCTTTCTTTCTCTCTGAAAATCTCGTTTCTTTTTCTTTCTTTCCACACTTTTTCCTCCACTATGGAAGTGCTTTTTTTGGCAGTAGAGTTGAATGGACAAAAGTTTCTCGGCTGGGTGGGACAAGGCAGTCACAAGTATAGTAGACAGTACCTGGAGTGAGGGAAAGTAGATGGCTTGAGAGAAGTCCACGGCATCTGGAGCATCCAGGTCACGGTGTTCCATAGCAGCCCGTGGGTGTCCACGGAAGGCATCTTCGTTCCCTGGGCCAGCTCCATAGCCCAACATGGGGGGCCGGGGCCAACCAGAGAGCATCAGGCCCTGGAGAGTCCGGTGTGGGCAGGGGGGTCCCGGGGCCGGGCCTGGGGGGGAGTACCTGGGCAGGGCCAGGTGGCAGAGCCGGGCACTTGGCACCAGGGAGAAAGTTGTTACAAATGCCACCTTCCTCCTTTATTTCCTCAGTCTGCATGCTTGTTTGACGGTGCATACGCAAACAAACTCAGGGCCCTTGATTTCTTGCCACTGAGGGGGCATGGCCACGTATCCTTGGCCGGTTCCTGGGTGTTAGAAGTGACAGACGTCGCTTCCTGCTCAGCATCTTCACGACCCATCTTCTGGGCCTCTTTCCACACACTTCAGTGTCAGGGTTAGAGTTGTCCTGCTAAAACGGGGGGACTCTCTTCTAACCTTGGAGGAGTCCTTGTCTCGTTTTGCCACATCTTCACGTGTCTCCCTCCCACGCGGGGCCTAGTCATGGCGCCTCCTGCAGAAGCGGCGTGGCCGGCCAGTCAGACTGCTGATGGCGCTTAGGCTCGCTCCCCGTCACCCGTGAGGGCTCACGTGTGCCCGTGGCAACGTGTAAGGGCTCGGGGGCCGCTAACTGGTTGGGACACTGGCCGTGGCCGTGGAAAAGCTGCCCCCTCCCAGATGTGTGTGCGTTTTCAGCACACAGCCCTCGGGGGGTCAGCCCTGGGCTGGGCTTTCGCCGGCCGCAGGTGGATGTGCAGGTGGAAACGGGAGAGCCCTGAGCCTGAGCCCCTGGCTTTGGAAGGACGTGGTTTGCCTCCACCTTGCTTTGACCCTGTTCCCGCTGGGGGAGTTTGCCCAAGGCCCTGGGTTCTTCATTCGGTCTCGCTTACCCCGTGATATCGATTCTTTTCTCTTCTCTCAAGGGGCTGAATCCAGGCAAAGCTATTGCTGAAATCAAGAAAATGATGGCCACCTATAAGGGGAAGAAAGCATCAGTGTAACTGTTCCCACGCCAAGCATGACAGCCAGCTCGGCTGGACACACCTTATATCCAATTCGAGTCCCTTCAGAGGTCTTGATTTTCCATGAATACAGCATGTATAATAAAAATTTTAAGAAATAAATAAATGTTATTCTACTTTATTAACAAAAAAGTAAGCCTGTTCCTCTTACTGGCTGAAGAGGAATGCACAGGTGCCAGAAGGAAGTGTCCTTGTCGCTGGAGAGGGGCGGGGGCTCCTGCACTGAGCCCAAGGCGGGGCTGGACAGGCCATGGCCTCGGGGGCCTGTTCCCTTCGCCCCTCCCCAGCCAGACGCCCTTGGGCAGGCTCCTTCCCCTCTTAGCCTCTCTGTTTGCCGGTCTGTACGGGGAGGGTGGTGGCTGTCCGCCTCCCCTATCACCGCGGGAGCACCCAGCCCTTCCTCTGCGTGCTCACAAAGTGTTAGCAGCCTCCCGGATCAGAATTACTTAAAGCCGTGTCTTGCCAAGTCATCGTATCTCGCCAAGGCGAGGTTAGCCGCCTCCCGCACAGAGCAATGACCGGGTCAGCTGTGACCTCGAGTTACACGGCTGACCTCCAGGGGCCTCTCCCGGCAAGCACGGCTTCCCGACACAGCTGCCCAGGCGGCAACGCTCTCTGAGAAGCCAGACGGTGCAAGATTGTGTCGGGGTGGAAGTGAAAGGCCCTCCACACCCCGAGTCCCACACCCCAGCCCCCGCTGACAGTTGTATTTC